GTTGAAATGAATGCCACACATCTGTCTAGGGAGATTAACTACGGCACCGACCAATCATAACCATCCAAAGCCCTGCGCCTTCTCCGTCTGGTGCTGAATGTTTCTATCCTCCTTTTGCCCGGCGGATAGCTCCTTTGGCTGCAAAAACTAGTCGCTCAAGAAGTGGTTGGGAGTGCCAAACATTGTGCATTCTGGCTCAGGACGTTCCGCTCCGGCTTGCTGGCGCTCTGCACGCGGAAGAGTTTTTCCTGCATGCGCTGCCTCAAATTACACCACGGTAGACCCCAAACAGTTTGTGTTTTTCAAAATCGGAACACTCTGCAACTAGAGCTTGCGACGTCCACAGCTGGGAGACAAAGGATTGATTGCAAGGCAGAGGCGGCCACAGCAGGCAGACAAATGTAAAGGATTGCAAGCGACATGCAGCCCAGAGCTGAGTGACAAATAAAGGATTGCAAGCCAGAGGCGGATACAGCAGTCTAGAGCACATGTAAAGGATTGCAAGGCAGAGGCGGACACAGCAGCCCAGTGCTGGGAGACAAATGCACAGGATTGCAAGGCAGAGGCGGACACAGCAGCCCGGAGCTGGGAGACAATGTAAAGGATTGCAAGCGACACGCAGCGCAGGGCTGGGAGACAAATGTAAAGGATTGCAGGGCAGAGCAGCTGGGAGACAAATGTGAAGGGTTGCAAGCGAGAGGGGGAGAGGAGGCACATGTAAAGGAAAGAAGGAAGACAAGGCGGACACAATGACCAACAAGAAGGAGGACAACAAGGGAGACAAGAAGGGAGACAAAAGGAAACAGAAGGGAGACAAGACGGACACGGTGCCCAACAAGAAGGGAGACAAGACCGGAGGCGAAGGGAGACAGAAGGGAGACAAGGCGGAGACAAGGCGGACACAATGACCAACAAGAAGGGAAACAAAAGGCAACAGAAGGGAGACAAGGCGGACACAGTGACCAACAAGAAGGGGGACACAGTGAGCAACAAGAAGGGAGACCAAGAGAGACAAGACGGACAGCAAGGTGGACACTCTTAGAAACATTTACAACCCCTAACAGTAACCTGTTTGGGGAAGTACAGAAACCACATGGGAAACAAATGAATAGAAATGCTGCATGGCCAGCGGAAAAGGGCGGACACCAGCAGTGCAGGCACCGAACCTGGGAGACAAAAGTAAAGAAATCACTTTAAAGACAAACGAATTGAAACGCTCCATGGCCAGCGGAAATGGGCGGACACCAGCAGTGACAGAAAGGGCGGACACATCTTAAGAAAGAATTGAGAAACCCTACGTAACGGCAAAATGTTTGGGGAATGGAAATGTTGCATCGCCAGCGGAAAAAGGGCAGACACCAGAAGTGACAGACCTCGGAGACAAATGAACAGAAATGCTCAGACCTGGGTCGGAGACAAATGAATAGAAATGCTACATGGGCCAGCGGAAAAGGGCGGACACCAGCAGTGATAGACCTGGGAGACAAATGCATAGAAACGCTACATGGCCAACGGAAAAGGGCGGACACCAGCAGTGACAGACCATGAATAGAAATGCTGCATGGCCAGCGGAAAAGGGCGGGACACCAGCAGTGACAGACCATGAATAGAAATGCTAAATGGCCAGCGGAAAAGGGCGGACACCACCAGTGACAGACCTGGGAGACACATGAATAGAAACGCAGCATGGCCAGCGGAAAAGGGCGGACACCAGCAGCGACAGATCTGGGAGACAAAGGCATAGACGACATGCTACATGGCCAGCGGAAAAGGGCGGACACGAGCAGTGACAGACCTGGAGAAGAATGAATAGTGTAACAGCAGCACTCGCTTTTTGAGTTAGTCGGAGTCGACGTGTGATCACGTCGCATACCGAAGGCCCTTTTTGCACAAGGAAAAGATACGCGCCGCTCTGCCTGTGTTTGCAGGTTATGAGCCCAACGCTTTTAAGACCACCGAGATCCACAGCGTGTGTGGACTGGTTGCTGGCTCCCATGGCAAACCCGTTTTGGTCGCAAGAGCTCCAGGATCGCTTCGCGCTGGAGCAAGCAAGGCCGGAAGACCTCCCACTGGTCCCTGAAGGTGACTCGGGTGTGGGCGGAGTGGGTGAGTCGGAAGAGATGATCCCTGATGCTCGCGATCTCCTCAATTTGCTAAGCTTTGATGCGGATCAAGAGAATGTGGAGGAAAAGTCATTGGATGACGGCGGCTGTCAATCAGTGCTGGTGAGGATATGGAGAAAGGCCCACAAGAACTTTGGAGAGACCCTCAAGAAGAGTTCCAAAAAGCCATCAATATCCAACCGGGCTGGCCTGAGGTTAGGGATGATTCAGGCGCACGGAGTTCTGCTGGTCCTCCAACGCCACCAACAAGCTGGATGAGGAGACCTGTGGAGGGGAGAGAGCGAGCAATGGAGTTGCGACTGAGGGAACGGCGGCCGTGTGAAGACCATCGAGTACAAGGTCAACAGCCGGAAAAACATCAACGGCTTGATCAAGGCAAAGGTCAGCGTGATTACTTGGCTCGAACCGATGGTCACCAGAAGGCCGAACAGCAAGAAGATCGTGGGGTACCAGGTCAACAGCTGGGAGAACATCAACGGCTCGATCAAGGTAAAGGTCGATGTGACAACTTAAAATGGTGGAAGAACTTCGGAGGCAGAATGAGGAGCTTCGAAATGAGGTGAAGATCTTGAATGAGAAGATCACACAAGGCCAATGTCACCGAGATCGAACTCCTGGACCAAAGACACCGACGACGGCTATGTTCACGCCAATGGAACAGCCAGTACAGGTGAGAAGAACACCGGGTGGCACGCAGGTTCCACCAGGGACACCACCGCAGACGCTGGATGAACCACGAGGTGAGCTGCCGGAAATTCCGCCTTGGCCATGGTCGAAGTTTGAGCAGGGGAGCTCAGCGGAAGAGTGGTCGAGTTGGGAACGTCGACAACGTGAGCTACATGGACGTGATCGTGGAGTACAAGAACTGAACTATGGGATGCTGGGCGCAACTGGAGGCCTACACCATGAAGGTCGTGGGGGCGGGTTGCACCGACATGCAGGTCCTGACCGCGGGGTCTATCCCCGATGGCATGAACTATGTGACGGTGAAGGACAGGAAAAAAACCAGCTCCACCGTTGGAATGATGGAGTTGGAGAGCGGCAAGTGGACTGTAATGAATGGTGTGAATGCACCAGGCAACGGTCCAGGCCGATTTCAAGTTGCTCGTCTTCAGTGGCTTGAGCGAGAACTACAAGAGCTGAAAAGCAGAATGAAGATCCATGAAACCAAGCATGGCGGACATGGGGTACCAGTGTGGCAGCAGTCAGATGGGCTGTGGATGCATGTAACATGGACAGCAACCAGGCCACGACGACGTCCCACCACCTCCGCGTCAGTCGAGATGAAAAAGCCTGACGGGGGAGGAGCCAATTTTGAGTGGGGTTCAAACAGTCCAGACCTCACTGCGAAAGATGAGCCGAAGGACGACCTGAGGGCAATCAATGTGACTCTTCCGAGACTGCCGGATGAAAGCACCCCTCACGCGGCTCTCAGGTGTGGAGATTGGATCACGGAGATTGAGCCGCTGATTGGGGACGTCTCCGGTGGGGGAGCAAGCTGGTGGACGCCACTCATGAGTGAGGTCAATGCAGTCTACAAAAGTGTGGTTGTCATCTGATGCATTGACCCGCCTGGAGGTGAAGCCAAATGCGACAAGGCTTGAAGGTCGTGTAACAAGCATGTTACTGGCTGCGTTGCCTTCGTCGATCAAGTCAGACATCATTGCGGAAGCTGACCGCGGCCTGGTCACATCCTGGGGCAAAGGGCCCAGTCACAACACCACCACACGCCCGCGAGCAATGGTAAAGATGGTCCGCCACGTGCGAGACCGCACGAACATGGTGGCACCCACCATTCCATGTGCCACCTACAGGGACCACAGACCGTTGGCAGGTTGTGGAGAACTTTGTGGTGAGGATCCACTGCAAGATGAGGTACCAGAGGTGCCATCCAATCCATAGCTCGTATCCGTTGCGAGACGAGCAAGCGCTGACGGGCCGCAGGGTCACCATCAAGTACATCGGTGGGGAGCAGCCGGGCAGACCGACGGAGGACTCATGGATTGAGCCACCAACAAATGAGGATCGGATGCACAACAAGATGGAAGGCAGGTGGAGCGGCTACGCATTCTTCGAGCTGCACAGTCCTGCACATGGGGCAAAGGCGGCAAGCTACTATGTGGGCACACGTCCAGTGGGAGAGTGGGCGAGACAAGAGAATACATTGCCTCCGCATTTGCACATCCCACGCGACATGAGAGTGCCCGAAGCGGTGCAGTTGCGCAATCAGCGCATGCAGGAGCCTGTCGGTGCTTGGGCGGGGGGCGGGGACTGCAACGTCGACAAGGTCATCAGCGAGTACGGATGGACCACAGACTGCAGGCATGAGACCGCCGGTTGGATCGACTGCCAGTGCTTCAACAGCACTACAACCTGGTGCAAGGGCTCGGACAGCGGAGCGGATCGCCAAACCTCCTCCGCCTGCGCCACCTATGGAGAGATGGTCTGAAATCCCAGAAGGCCTGAGATTGGCGCTTGAGGCGCTGACAGAGTTGGAGAAGAACTGGGACAGACCACCGGGATCAGATCCCATCTATTGGGTCCAGGTTGGGGGTCGCATGTACCACAGGAATGACATCATGCGACAAGCTATGGCACTGGAACAACATCCAGCTGCAAAAGTTCCCCGACTACAGTTGACCTTGGTGGAGGGCCGCACGGACAATGGCACACCGTGCTACATTGCAACAGCAACAGCTGAGGCAGGGTCAACAGCCTACTACTACCACCAACTGGTCAACGCCAGACTCCACGAGAGCGCAAGCGGATGGAAGCTTGGGAAGTGCTGCATCGGCCTATCGAGGTTACGCTCGACGAGGCAGTGGTGAACAACACCAGCTTGCGATGGCATCAACCATTGCACCGCCGCCAGGCCTGCAGCATGAGGCAACAAATGCCTGTGGAATGCTGATGGAAGCGAACCAGACCCCATCAGTAAGTGAAGGAGCGGAGACGCCCTGTGACTACGACTGGCCAGCGGATGACCGCATCGGCGACCGTCAAGTGAGGGCAACGGAATCAGACAGCGACTTCGAGTTGCTGCAACCAGACGGCAACGCGCCGTGACGGGCCTTGAGCTTTTAGGTTTGTGGAAAAGTCCCACAAAGGGGGAGTGTAGCAGCAGCACTCGCTTTTTGAGTTATAGTCGGAGTCGACGTGTGATCATGTCGCATACCGAAGGCCCTTTTTGCACAAGGAAAAGATACGCGCCGCTCTGCCTGTGTTTGCAAATAGAAATGCTACATGGCCAGCGGAAAAGGGCGGACACGAGCAGTGACAGACCTGGGAGAAGAATGAATAGAAATGCTACATGGCCATCGGAAAAGGGCGGACACCAGCAGTGACACAAAGGGCGGACACATGTTAAGAAAGAATTGAGAACCCCTAACAGTAAACTGTTTGGAGAAAAATTGCCGAGAACAAAAACAAAATACAAAGGTAATTACACCACCGTAGGCCCCAAACAGTTTTGTTTTTTGAATCGGAACGCTCTGCAACTAGAGTTTGCAACTAGAGTCTACCAGATTTTTTGTGAATACAAAGGAGCGAGAAAAGTGTAGAGGATTGCAAGGCAGAAGGCGTGACACAGCAGTCCGGAGCTGGGAGATACAGTAAATGTCAAGGATTGCAGGCCAAAGGTCGGCGCCGCGAGGCGGACACAGCAGTCCACACAAGGCCGACACACTTAAAAGCATTGAGAAGCCCAACAATAAACTGTTTGGGGAACAAAGGCCGCAAGGTTTGGAAATGCGCAACACGACGTCTGTTGCGATTGATCAGTCACAAAACGCAAAGTATCTGCAAATCCTACCAAACAACATCAAATGATGTCTACCGAGTCTAGCTGCTGTGCCTTCTTGGATTTCTGTTGCCGTTGGATCAGAATTTGAAATTGTTCGATAGATCGAACGGCCCTCTAAGGGCATTTATGATTGCATTGCAATCGAAAGCCCAAATCCACCTGACCCCTTTTGATTCTTCTAGAATTCAGGAGTCGGTTTTCTGCGCTGGCTTCAATTTAGGCGCATGAGAACAAGCACAGGCGTCAAACCTCGGCTTAGGCTCAGGGTTCATAGTCTACCCACCGCGAGTTCACGCTACGCGGCTCCGACTGCTCCCAGAAAGAGACTTGAACTTCTTGTTGAGTTTGCAGGCTTTGAACATTCTTCATCGCACAGCAAGAGTAAAGGAATTCTATGGAATTCTATACTAGATCACCGTTGCGGAGCTGCGTCTTGAGGAATGAAAACCCTAAACCAGAGAGCAAATCAAAGAAGGAGAATGCTTGAAGCCTTGAAGTCCTGGTCAGGAAGTGAAACCTTGAAGCCTTGAAGCTTCCCTGACGACCTGAATCCCTGACACTGAAACTTTGAAGATTTGAAGCCTTGCTCAGGACGTTAAGTCTTCATGTCTTCACGTCTTCGCGCAAAAAGTCGCAACCCGCAACTGCCAAAAGGAGAACGGTTTTAATTACGGCGGATGTGGAACACCGAAAGCCGAAAACGGAATCCTGAATCCAGGCAAACAAGTGTAGGATTGGCACCTGTATATTTAATTGTTAAAGAGTTAAAGACATACGGATGTCAAGGGATCTGGGGATACAAGTCGAGTGGCAATCTCAAGGTGCCACGGAATATTCTGGGAATATTCTCAAGTTAAAGCCACATTTGCCTGTTGCTTTGCACAAAACCACATTTACGATTCCACTTTGCACTCTGCTTGCATTTCAGCTGAAAACTAGGAGCCAAACGCTTTGGTGCCGACACCAACAATCACTGTGCCGCAGCCCTGCATTGCCAGGTTTTGGATTCTCAAGATCAATGGATGGGTGGCAAACAAGAACTGCGCAACTTCACTACAGTGGTGCATCATTCTGTCCGAAAAGTGGGTCTAACAGGGAGGGGTGGTCGGTGGTGTGGCTGCTTTACTGTAAGGAACCGGATTGTGGTTCGGGGGTGTGAGGTGGCTGAAAGCATTCGTTACAATCTCTACATATTTCTACAAACAGAGCAATGAACAATTGTAAACATGGCTTGATGGAGTCACAGGGTTCCTTCTGGAAGGGTTACTAACTAACTTTCAGCAGGGGGCACAGGCCCGTCGTGGATACCTGTGCCAACGAAGCTGTTCCATGATGGAGGAAGCGGAGATTGATCACCTCCGTGTACCTGCTTTGAACACATTGACTCCAGTGGTCCACCCTTGCTCAGGCCATTGCTCAGGCTGTTTTCAGGTCCATTAGGCTGCTTTAAAGTGCTAGCGATTTCTGCAGATGAGCACACGTTGATGACTTTTGGAGGTTTCTTTGAGGCCTCACGGAGGATACAGGTTGCATTAGCTGCCTTTAGCTCACCTGGAACCTTAAGCGGTTTACCTAGGGCGGCGAGTGGCAAACCGCTTTCCAATCAGTACGCGTTTCTATAAGTGTGTCTTGCTTCACGCCAGCCCAGGGTGTCCGTGAGGAGTGGCCCCTGTGGACCCGTTGAACGGGGGTTAGTCGAACGTATCCCCTGCCTTGGATACAGAGCAGCTCGCAGCGAGCGTAAGCGGCTTGCGCCAAAGTTATTTGTCAAGACTTGATGAACTATTGAATTCCAAGCAGGCCGCTTTCGAGCATGCCAGAACGTGTCCGCAGCGGACGTTAGTAGGCTTATGCCACAAGGTGGTCGCAGCGACCAAAGCTTGTTCAAGGTTCAGTGGAACCTGTCGGGGCCTTAACCCCCTTCCTCCCCCCTACCCTCCCCCTCTTCCTTTTTGGGGTGTTCGGTGTTCGTGAATGTAACACTCAGGTACACGCCCCTCCCTGGTGTGTCCCTGGACGCTTGCTCGTAGCTGGGAACACCTGTCCACGCCCCTGGTACACGCCCCTCCCTTTCCTCCTCTTTCTTTTTCCTCTCTCTCTCTTTCTCTCTCTCTCTCTCTCTCTCTCTTTCTCTCTCTGTTTTTTCTCTTTCCTTTCTTTCCCTTCCTTCTTGTTTGGGTGTCCCTGGATGCTTTCGTCATAGCTGGGAACCCTTCTCTTCTTCTCTTGGTGTGTCCTTGGACGCGTGTGTCGTAGCTGGGAACACCGTCACCTTCTCCTTCTTTTCTCTCTTCTCTCCCTACCCCTCCCTTCCTCGTGCACAGTGTACTTACATTCAAACGAGGTCTTTGCAACAGGTTCTCAATGAGGTTCGGCTTTCATCGGCTTCTGTCCCCTTCATTTGGTTTCCCTTTTTTCATCGTGTTCCCCTTCACACGCCTTTTTTCTCATCTTTATTTTTCATGTCTTCCTGTCTTCATGTCCTGGCATTTCATTCCTTCTTTCTTTTGCGCACACAGTGGTCCGGCCCTTAGTGTGTACGTGCACAACTACATTTACCTTAATCCCATGTTTCAGGTCGCCCAAGGTCTGACAATGAGGCGGGTTTCATTGTTTGTCCCTGCGCACTTCGTTCCTCTTCATCGCAACCACCTGTCTCGTCCTCTTTTCATGTCTTCATCTTTTTGTCCGTGTTGCGCGCACACGTGCACTTTTCCCTTAGTTTTTCGCCTCCCCTCGGGGAGGCGTGTGTATGTGTGTGTGTAACCCTTGGAGTCACATGGTTCCTTTTGGCATGTTCCTAGCTAACTTTGAGCAGGGGGGCGCAGGCCCATCGTGGATACCTGTGCCAACGAAGCTGTTCCACGATGGGGGAAGCGGAGATTGATCACCTCCGTGTATCTGCTTTCAACACATTCACTCCAGTGGTCCACCCTTGCTCAGGCCATTGCTCAGGCTGTTTTCAGGTCCATTAGGCTGTATTAAAGTGCTAGTGATTTCTGCAGATGAGCACGCTCGCGGTCATCCTGTCGATTTCGCTCACTCGTCGGTTTTTCGAGTTGATGATTTTTGGAGGTTTCTTTGAGGCCTCACAGAGGATACAGGTTGCATTAGCTGACTTCAACTCACCTGGAACCTTAAGCGGTTTACCTAGGCTGGCGAGTGGCAAACCGCTTTCCAATCAGTACACATTTCTATAAGTGTGTGTCGTCCTGGCAATCGGCTTCTTTCGAAGGTTTTCTTAGCAGGTGAGGCTGAGGGTACAGGACAGAGAAGTCCATCACGAGACAGCTCATACAACTGTGGAAAAGGGTTTGCTGTTTGCTGCTCATGAACGCTGCACAACACGGCATGTCAGACTTGAAGTAAACTTGGCATATCAGGCTGCAAGTAAACTTTGACCATGCCTTTGTGCATCAATCTATTACATGAAGAACATAAAACATGGCCATGGAATGAGTGCGAGCCCCTTAACAAATCAAAAAAAGTTATGATGCCATCGCAACCATTCAAAAAAGGAAACATGCACATCTTGCCTGGCCAGTCTTGTGGTCAATGCTGTTGGTAAGGTCAGCACGCTCTCGGCCATTGGGCTGACACGGAACTAAATTCACCACGTTTCACCGTTGGTTTGTTTCGATGTGTTTGAAACGCGCTGAGAAACAAGTCAAGTCGTTAGGAACAGCAGAGAGAAGTCATTCTAACAAAGGGCATCACTACTAGTCGCTTCTTGCTACTAGTAAGGCCAGGAGCTACTAGTAGCGTCCTTGCTCCTAGTAGCGATGCCCTTTGCTCCTAGTAGCTTCTTGCTACTGGTAGCGATGGCCTCCAACCTAGTAGCTTCTTGCTACTAGTTATTTTTTCCAACTGGAGGACCGGGCCTGTGAATCAACACCTTCGGGAGCAAAATTGCGCCACTCCCTACCCTCGTCGAAGCAATGGTCCTGCAAGAAGGCTCTGACCCTTGAGAATACATTTGCATGAAAGAAGTCACTCAAAGCCGCTGACAACATTCTCGGTCACTCTGATGAAAAAGAGAGTTGTCCTCCAGCACAGTGCCGCAGCCTTAAAAGCGAAAAGCACACTGAAATGTGCAGCCAGGCCCTCTTGCTGATGCTGTGAATATACCCTTGTTGGTTCCATTGCTTCATAGTAGTGTAGTCATGTCTTCATTTCCTTTGTAAACTCAACATGTTCCACTGCCATCATCTATTTCACACACTTCAACGAAGTTGCCCGTGCAAACCGCGGTCCCCTGTGATGAGTCATAGATCACCTGCACTAGTACATTGAATGAAAGGTTGAACCAGCGGCAAAAGTGAATGCTCAAAAGTGACTACAATGATTCGAGCAAAGTGTGCCTTCAACACCAAGAAGCAACAAAATCGCAATGTCTTGCTTTGGGGATCGCCAGCACGCCTGGCTATCCCGGCAGTATCGACACGATGTCCTGCAGAAGTGGGTCAGTCAAATTGACTAGATTCAATAGATTTGATGGTTGATCCTTGGGTCAATGGCAATGTCGGCCATGCAACCTTAGGATGAATGTCCGAAGCCATAGAAGTTTCGAAGCTTTCGCGTAGACGAACATTCCTCCCCCTCCCCTTCCCTCCCCCCCCCCCCTCCCCCCCCCCCCCCTCCCTCCCCCCCTCCCCCCCCCCCCCCCTGAAATGTGGAGGCCTACGTGTACAGGTTCCACTCCAGTGGCCTATCTAGTGTGTCCATGCTTGACTGTCACAAGGCTCAAGAGGATAAGACTCTGCGTATAAAAGACACTAGCGGTCTGCACCTCAACCGTGTACGCCCTAGTCACTCTTTCACCCCCTCCCCCTCC